AATAAGTAATAATAATAATAATAATAATAATAATAATAATAATAATAATAATAATAATAATAATAATAATAATAATAATAATAATAATAATAATAATAATAATAATAATAATAATAATAATTTTAGTGATAATGATAAATGTTAATGAGGGTGGTAATTTTATTGTTAAGAATGTTTGAAAAAAAAATAAAGCAATGAAATGATAAAAGAGATTTGGTGTTGATGATGATGATAATGAGTGAATAAAAAAAAATTGATAATGAAAATGATAAAAAATAGGCTTATAAAGAAAGGTAATAACTCGTAGAAGATGAAGTATTCAAATTAAAATTTTCCTTTTATTGAAATTAGAAATCAAACAAAAATTGAATTTTATCAAAGTGATTTTCTTTTACATGTATAATGATAATGATAATGATAATGATAGCTATGATAATTCATTTTATGTTATTTTTTCTCATAACACTGATAAATATATTCTTTTCCGATTATTCTAATTATATTTAATCCGGTCATTTAAATATAAACTCAAAGGATTATAATTCCGGATAACGACAAAATCAGATGTTTAACTGAATTGAGCTTCTTTTTTTTTTGGTTAGGATACGATTGAAAGGGATTACTCTTACTAAAATTAAATTATTCCCTTTTTTAATTGCTATTCCATTCTTACATGTTTGGAGAAGTTATTAAACTATTTATCAAACTATCAGTGATTTTTGAGTGATTAATCATTCCAATTGTCATATCATCGCGCTTTTTCTTAACATTACACTTCTCTGGCTATAATTAATTAACAATTATTAATTAACGATTAATTTCACTCAAAACACTGAAATATATAGTCGTAATTTATATATTATTATTAGATATTTTAGTATTTTGAGTGAAATTATTTCTCATTTACTCATATACATGTACTATATCAATGATCTATATACATATATATATATAAAGGTTACAGGTGAAAAAATTAATATTCAGAAAATGTAGAATGCTAAAAAATACAAGTATCAGTTGATGATTACTGATTTATTGATTGATTTTGATTTATTGATAATATTGATAACAATATTACTGACATTAAAAAGCGAAAAAAAATGCAGAAAGAGATCAAAAGATTTAATTATATTATTTGCGAATGTTAACTTTGTAAATAATAAAAATCACTGATAAATCAATGATTAGAAAGGTTTAGAAAAAAAGCATTTTAAAAAGCTATTAAAAATTATTTTTGCCTATTTTTAGAAATATTTATCACCTTTTCCTCTCAATAAAATTTTTACTATTAGTAAAGTTTCATTGCTTGACAAAATGTTCGATTTTGGTTTTTTTCCCCTTTTTTTTCAGTAATACTTTGAGAAAATATCTTTTTTCAATTATCTTTTTAATTGCCATTTTTAATTACTTTTAATTATCTTTCTCAGAAGAAAAGAAGCAAAATGACAAATTAAACATTTAAAATAAACGATGGAAAACAATTTGATGTCATTTTAAATTTGCTAAATAATTTAACTATTAATATTTGTTTAAATTTAATGAAAAGGAGAAAAAAACTGAAATAAATAATTTTGACCGAAATATCTCGCGAATATTTTGACCGAAATATCTCGCGAATATTTTGACCG